CATACAACAGTGGCTGCTGAGGTCTTCCCCACTCCTGGCGGCCCTGATAACAACGCTGCTCTGTACCCAGCACCATCTGAGTCAAAACGACTGAATACTGAAAACAATCCAAAGCATAGATTTGTGGTTTTATAAAGTCTATAGAAAGGACCAAAAATGGTTTTACTGAATTTTACGAAAGACTGATGTTTTCATGGAACAAAATTACATTAGTATTCAGTTCTAAATCATATAAAACAACTAATTATTTGTAGTATTTTCAAAGAATAAGAAAAAAATCCATAAAACAGGTTTTTTTTCACTGGCTCATTAATAAACACATACCATGCTGGGGTAGCGCTAGCAATTTTTTTCTCTTAGCCAAATCACCACTTTTTTGTCAATTTTGTTATAATTTGACTAAAACAAGTCAAATCAAGCCTTTTTTGTTTAGCCAATTTATGTCACTTTTAGCATTTGGCTAAATTGGCGAGTGTTAGCGCTACCCCAGCCATACCAGTAAACAAAGGCTTCGTTCACATGTAAAGTCTATTATTTTTCTAAAAATCTATTTTCTATTAGCGGTATCTTATGATCACGGTCTGTGCCCTGAATATCCTGCGGAGTAATTACTGGCAGCGCGAGCCAGTTACTTATACAAAGCTGTAATTAATTCTCGGCTGTGCTCGCATTCTATAAAATCTCATCTTCCATTGCCGCATCGCTTGCCATCGAATCATAACGGTTGCACTCGTATCTGTCGTGTGTATAGCTTCTTCATCTTCTTCGTCTTGTTGTTGCACAAAATCGACAAAGGCATTTTTCAAAGCAACCGCGACCGCCATTAACTTTCTAACTTCCTACTGCGCATGCGTCAAGGTATCAGAATCTCCTCCGAGCACAGTCGAGAATGAATTACAGCTTTGGCAGTAACTGGCTCGCGCTGCCAGTAATTACGCTGTGGGATATTCAGGGCACAGACCATGATCACAAGATATACCGCAAATAGAAAATAGATTTTTAGAAAATAGACTTTCCATGTGAACGAAGCCAAATATTAGAGCAGTCAGAAAAATGATTGCAACACACCTGGCTTTTTCCCACTGGCAATATTCTTGTGCCAATTATTCAACCAATGAAACAACTTCTTAGCATTACTCTTGTCTCCTTGTTGACCAATCAGCTGCTTCATACTTGTAGGTTTGTACTTATCAACCCAAAGTAAGCTTTCCCCTGGTTTGTCAACACCAATTTTGGCTTCCGATTGGCCAGGTTTTGTAGGGGTGGACTCTGAATGGCTGGCTTTTCCTGGTGTGGTAACAGAGGCTTCTTTTTTGAGAGATGCCTTTTTCCCTGAAGCTTCATTAACTGCTGATTTGCTTAAAGAATCCTGGAATAAACATTACATATAACATGAAACATAGCAATGGCAATATTTTTAGTTCTATGAACATATAAAAATCTGAAGTTACTTCATTTTAATTAAAATCAAATCCCATCATCCACAATATAGTCGAAACTAATGATCTGTGTCAGTTGTAACAGCTACTTTAAAGAATAATAACATTTCTTTGTAATATTTCCATGTTAAGTGATGGTTAACATTTGAAATGGACGTTGAGAGCTGTCTGACATTTATCAAACATTTCACTTTATCCTTTTTAAAAATTATGTCAGTGATCTCAAAAATTTGTAAACATTTTAAATGATGTAAACATACCTCTCTGACCATCTTCTCTGCGGCCACGGTGTATTTGGACTTCTTTCCAGGAAGAGTTTTGATTAAATCCAGAACACCATCTTCATCCAGCTGCTTGGTGCCTAACTGCCTTGCCTTCAACAGATTTAAAGGAAAAATATTAAGACCAGATTTACCAATCAAGTAGATTACGAAACTGCACATCATTCAATGAACCTGGAAACAGCAAGTGCAAGGAACACCCGAGTTGGCCATTCTCCACTTTTGCATTATTTAAGTGTATAATTTTCAAAACATTAAGGAGAGAGAGAGGGAGAATGAGAGTGAGATGTTTGGACAAGGTAAGTTAAAAGTTTCAACAAACTCCTAATTGGTGTAGGTGCATTCATACACGTACATATCTCTATTTTTTTACATCTGTGAGAAGTAGAGTGGGATATAAATAGGATGACAAAATTATATAGAATAAATCAGACATGCTGAAACTGTCGGTCCGATCTGTCATGACCAGGAAAATTTGTCTGGACCGGTAAAAAATTGGACATGGTCGGTCCAAAGGACCGACAAGAGTTTTAAGAGCCACACTTTTAAATTACGACTCATCATTTGACATACTTCCCTAATAAAATTATATAAAACAAAGCGTTTTTTTCCCTTCCATTTTAAACCTATCACATTCACAAACAAAGTAAGCTACCTAATCGTACTGGTAGTATCTGTCTCAAACGAATAGGGTAATTTTTGGTCTGACAAAAATCCATTTGGTCTGGCAAATTTTTCACTACTGCCGGTCCAAATGTTTGGCCACTCTGAAAAGTTTTCAGCATGTCTGATAAATAATGACAACTATATCCCTACCTTAGACAGCTTGCTTTCCCCTGCGTCTCTCCCCACCACCACATAACTTGTCCTCTTACTGATGCTCCCCGTCACCTTGCCGCCATACTTCTCTATGGCGCTCTTCATGTCATCCCGTTCAAACGACTCCAGGACACCTGTGATGACAAATGTCAACCCCTCCAGACAGTTGTCACCACCCTGAGAATGAAAACTTGTGTCATCTTCATGTTTAAATAAATAAATAAATGAATACATTAATATTATTAATCACACACACACACATGCACACACACAGCTGAAACCTGAATAAGACAGACTACACACCTCCATAAAAACAGAAAATTTGTGACATCTTAATGATTATATAAACTAATAAATAAATGAATCAATTAAATAGAAAATTAATTAATTAATATTTTTAAAATAATTAATGAAAAAAATTAACAAATTATTAAATAATCAATTAATAAACATTTGACTAGGTAAAACAGACAAATTAAATGAAGCAATCATTTTCATGTGTAACATCTAAAGGATTTATAAAAATAAATGAAATCATTTATCACGTATTACTTTAATGAACAGAAAGGGGGGTGGGAGGACCCCATGCCCTTCCTCAGGGTCTATCCCCCTAAATACACACCTCAGGTACTTCCTTAGCCCCCAGACTGCTGGGGCCAGCCCTGGTCAGGTAACTTTTATAACTGCTGCCCTTTCTCTCCAGAGTGGCAGGAGTACCGGGACTGGACTAGAAGTAGGATGACTTGGTTTTAAAGAGATGTGATCAAAAACCTGCGTGGACTTTCTCCACTTATCATATACAAAATGCAATTTGGTTTTAAGCAGATGTGATCAAAAAGCTAAAATGAATGAGTTTCTCCATTTATCATATAGAAATATTTATCATATACAGAAATGTACAAACACCAATTGAAAGTCAATATAATCTGATTTAACAAACTTGACTAAAAAGCTGACAGGATCTAGAATCACTAAAGTGATTAAAAATTGAAAAAGATATACATTCTTTATCTTTGGTTCATCGTACAAACTGAAATATAGACATCCGTATAATGACAAAGTTGGTAGTACAGTTTTTAAACTAATTTCATAGTCTTGTCTATTAATCTAAATTGTCCCCAAGCACCTGTGTTAAATTTGACATCAACAGGACTTTACTTACCTCAGTTTTTTCTGGAGTAGCTTTCACTGGGGTTTTGGCTTTTGATGGGGTTTTCTTCTGAGGTGTTGATTTCTTTAATTCCTTTTCTTCTTCTTCTTTGGTGTTCAAGAGTTCCCTTGACCTAGCTTTGGCAGCTAGTTTCTTGGCCAAGGATGAACCCTCTAAAAATAACATGTTCAGATAAACAACCATTACATACTACAACATGAAGTATAGTATATGAAATGATGTCCTAATGTTAATACAAAGTAATGAAATAACCATCTTCTTGAAAAGTAGAGCATGTTGACCCAATTAAAAACTTATCCAACTTCCCCATGTGAGGCCACTGTACTTTTTCATAGGTGTAGGTTCATATGAAAGTATAGCTGTGGTCAACTTACCAGTTTTACATTCATTTTCTTTCCTTCTAGGTGACTGTCGAACACTTGGCTCACTAGATGTGTCCGATTTAGCTGGAGTACATGACCTTGACCTTGAACGTGTCCTTGGTGATGACCTCTCTGGTGTCTCTTCAACAACGCTGACCTCACTGCGAGACCTCCCTTTAGAAGACGACCTACTTTTCTGCGGTGTTTGATCTGATGTCAATGTTTGTTTCTGAGGGGTCTTTGAACTTGACCTGGATTCTTCTTTGCGAGGTGTCCTTGAACTTGACCTAGATTCTTCTTTCTGGGGTGTTGTAGTTCTGGAACTTCTCCGAGGAGACTCTCTGACAGGTGTTTCTGCCACTGTTATTGATTTAGATGGCGTGCTGTCATGTCTTCTTGACTGACTAGATTTGCTTGGCGTGACCTTTGTGCTTTCTATTTTTGTCTATGTGGCAAAAATAGTAAAATATGTATGATAAAAATGACAGTACAATGTAGGTAATATATGTAAGAAAGAAAGCAAAAGGACGTACTTAATGCACTGAATAAAAAATGAAGGAAGTCTTAATCACCTTCTTAGCCTGTTGTTCATCTAGTAATTCAAGTGTCCTTTGGAAGTCTACGTCATCGTGCTCTTCCTTGTCCATACTGGGGGTGTCCCCATCAGGCTGAAATCACATATACAGTAACGAATGACAAACTTAAGGCTCCTCATATAAAACATTTTTCCATAATTGTAAAACACTAAGAAAACCACACATTTTGACACAAGCCCAACTTGCTTTCTGGTGCTAATTGCTGGTAATTAAAAAATATATTTCTAGGTATTACTTGTTAACAAAATGCTGTTGTGAGATAAAAAAATAAATCACTTTTTTCCTGAACTTAGTGAGTGATTCCTAAAATAATATTGTAAAAAAAACATCTAAAGGATACTAAAATAAAATAAAATAGCAATAAAATAGCATGATGAGACAGGCAAATTATCTTCCTCCCGATTACACTCACAGCTTTTCTCTTCAACGCAGCCGTTTTCCTCTCAGATTTCTTGACACTGCCCCCTCCAAAGAAATCTGAAACACTGATTTGTTTTTTCTTCTCCTCTGTTGATTTTGTTGGAGTACTTTTCTTTGGTGTCGGAGCTTTCTGGGCCTGTCGTTGAAATGCGGCCTTGATGGGATCAACATCTGGGCTCCTGTCTCTACTCTCATCATCTTAAAAATAAAATCAAACACAATTATTAAATGAGGAAATTTAATTCTAATTCAGTTTTTTACCCTTTTAACTCTAGTAATCAATTATACAGAATTTTGAAAATCTTAAAATCTACTAGCCGAAAGCAAAAATTGGGGCCTGTGACTGGACGAATTACAGACATGATGAAATCATGACTGCTTGAAATGCCAGTGGATTTTTGATATCACAGATCCTCTGGACTGGCAAGGATTATGTGGAAATATGATACATAATAATAAATCACATGAAAACATAGGCTAAAAGAAATAAAATATTTAGTTTGAACCAGCACAGAATTGGGAGGACCTGCAGATTACTGGTACTTGGAGTGCAGTTTCCACGGACCTTCAGTACCTCCAAGCT